GCAGTGTTGTTGGTATAGATTATACGTAGGCATACTTTTGATCTCCACGGGGGGAGTGTTTCCGCAGGCGTGCATGAGTCCACCCAGGAAGATGGGGATGTAGGTTATCTTGCAGTTGGCGAAGACGGGGGAGTTCTGGATTGGAGGGGGGGGGGTTAGGTTGTGGCTATTGGGTTTATAGTACGGGAAGGGAAACGACTTACGCGGAGGACGTGGAAGGCGATATACCCGAAGGGGCTGACGGTGTCTATGTAGAGGGTTATACTGGGGCCGGACATTCTCTTGCGGAGCTGGTGGGTTGCTTAGGTGGTTGACTAGGGTCTGAGAGATCAAGGATTGTTTGATTTCGGTGGTTCTATGGTTCTTATGGTGAGATATCTATAGCAGGAAGTGTCGTCCAAGGCCGGTAGTTCAGGCACTCTCCTCCGCACGGCTGACTCAGCACCGCGAGCCGAGGTTGTTTGGGTTGATTAGTCGTGTTGGGGGTGTAAGTGGGCTGGGGGCTTGACACTGCCACCGGCTGCTGTCGTGCATTTGCATTAAGCTATTGCTTTTCCGATTGAGTCATACGCAAAGGGGACCCCGGGTGGAAGTATAAGCTCTCCGGGCGTTCTCGTGAGAATGTGTGGCGTCCAAAGGTCGGTGCGAGGTTGTATACAGTACAGTACATTCTAGGAACTACTGCGGAGTACTGTATACTAGTATAGGTGGATTGATTCTGATACTTGAGATGCTATTAATGTATATCCAAGTCCTGCAGTAGTGGTGTTGACTTACGATGATCACAAACATGATCTCTCTGCTTCATTTTGGTTCCACGGCAAAAGAAATCAAGACTACTTCAACCTTACAGCCTTGATAGTAGTGTATTACAAGAGTCGCGACGGGCTCAAACGTAGACATACATTTGTACACATATTTCAACAAGAATACCGAATACATAAAGTATGCACATAAACCTGATCCCAAAGGTTAGGGCCCTGGTCTAAGCATTGAGAACAGCGTCCGCGCACTTGGGCCAAGCATTGTACGTCAGTCGTTGCATACGGCAATGCGGGGAAGGATCCTCTTTTCACACTAGCAACAGCGCTAAATGATGCTGTCTGGAAGGCGGGAGTCTCCTTGACCCTAGCAAACAGCCTCGAGGACGTCAAGATGGGCTACAAAGTGAGCTGAGTGGTGGTCTCGAGTATAGATTGTATGTTGCTATTTGGTAGACTAGTTGGGCTCGAATGCTGAAACAAGCATTCAGCTTTCTCGCTTTACTTACCCGAGGTATCGCCATTCAAATCAGCATCGTCCCCTGATAGCGAGCAGGTAATATGGCACGAAGCCAGGAAGACTGAACAGGTTATCCCAGACAAGTACATGTTTACGGCAGGAGAGCCAGCCGTGAAAAACCTTGCCCAGTTCTTCTTAGATCATGCATGATGGCTTTCGGCTGGATATCTGCGTGTAGACGAACTGCTGAGCAGCTGGACGAAAGTCTATGTAACAACAAGGGCAAGGAATGATAGTCAACAACTCCAGACTATTTGACAAGCAGCAAGTAGCAAGTAGCAGCAAGTTGGATCTAAACAGTAAGGTAGTTGCAATAATGTTTCTGGGTCGCTCCTGCCATCCCCCGACGAATCTCAGCTACCACCTCCAGTTTCCCAGTCTATCCGTAATGGCTTCCTGCAAGTATGCATCACATGCAAGAATACGAGGAATCCAAGCGAGCACGAGCAAAGATGCAGGACTCCGAGCGAAGAACTCCAGGTGTAACACCTCCCATCGAACCGCTTGCAGCATTGCCCTGACTCTAACTATGGCATAGCATACGCCGACACCCCAGATCCCTTCCAACCCTTGTTCGAGTCGCGAATCGATCATTTCGTTGGCCCGGAAGAGGGCTTCCCATTCGCCGTCCCCGAGTCGATATCTGTTGCAGAGCTCGGTACCCCTGGCCAAGCGGAATGGTTGCGCCCGCCTGCAGTCGTGCAGGGACATGCGCTTAGGCCTGGACGAGATATGGTCTATCCAGGAGGGATCCCTGGTTCTGTGCATCAACCCATCCTATACCATATCCGACCACGTGCAGCCGAGATGGGATGAACTTGAACTCGTGGCCGGAGAAATCCTGGTCGTCTGCCGCCTCTATGCCGATTTGTGGGCCCTTTGTGCCCGTGCTTCATTTCCTTCCGCCGCAAAAACCAACGAGACCGCCAACACCCAGCCAATGAGCCTTGCCTTCGTGCCTCTCTGCGCAGTCACCCTTGCGGCGAACTTTAGTGCTTTCAATCGAAGATGCATCGAGCATGATCTCCGCGACCCCAGTGCCCCGAGATTTCCGGGAAATGGGCTTCCTGTGATGCCGCCTCCGCGTTCGTGCAGTCTCATTGATGGTATGCAGCTGGCTCAGTCTGACAGACTACATAACCGCCTTCCAGAGGTAGTATCCGATACGCTCAACAAGGTGTTGCCGGAGTGTGTCGAAGCTGACTATGTACCACTTGACCTTCATGTCGGAGCTCTCCTGTCCAATCTGAAAGTGAAACGCAATCGCCAGTCACAGTGTCTTGGTATACCCGCAGCGGTTGATCCGCCACCACAACCCACCGAGCCAGACCCCAAACCCGCCTCCTCTGCAAGCCACAGATTCAGAAAATGGTTTGGACTTGCGTAATCCAGGGTCGTTCGGATGGTGGTACTCTTTGTGAATGCGATGAACAATCGTCATTAGGAGAAGTCCCGAGAGGGCTGGACATGAAAGTTTATTAAAACAGCTTTATCCATGCTTGATGTCGTGTTGCTCCAACTTAAGCCACGCCTTGAAGTTGGTCTTTCTCGCCCTGAAGTGAAGCACAGTAGTTGACTGGAAACGTCTCAGCAACGAAGACAGGTCGAGCTAGTACTTGGAAGGGTCAGATCTCATATTGTAGCTACGTTCACATGGCAGGCAAGAATGAATTGATTAGAGGTTGGCCAGGTATTTTCCCCAGTCATTGATTCAAAGGCCGAATAAACTGAAAGCACACTGAGACTCTGATAAATAATCTTCGGTGTGATTTTCATTGAATCCAGGCCATTGCTTAGAATCGCAGTTTTGTTTTGCGTAGTACGGAACATCTAGTCCACCTATTATCGACTGATTAGGTGTGCTTTTCGTCTTTCAATGGTGATGAGCGATCCTGGGAAACGTTAAGGTCCCGAAGCACATTAGCATGCATGACGAGTTGATTGGCATCACCAATCAAGACAAGATGCCGTGCGCTTGGATGGCTCGAACAGAGCCATGAGAAGTGGCTCCTTAGTCTTCAAGCTTCCTGCCTGGAGGTGGCTAAGCCCCATGTATGAGTGCCACGAAGGCCAGAGAAAGCAATAGCGACAACGCCTATCGCTGTCAGCCCTGATGCCTTCCCTCTCGCCCAAAGCAATGCAGCTCAATCTGGTCCTGTTGATCATGCTCGGATGGAAGCTGCATGTGAGCCAGATGCAGACTGCACATCTTCGCCGTCCGCATGAGATCAAAGAAGATGGTTTCACTCTCGTGTCGTCTCTTCAACGCTACCAAGATGACTGCATCGGGTGACATCTGCAGCAAGCGGTCTAGTACCGAGACCAGCGCAGGTAAGCTATCCGCATTGTAAGTGCAGTCTGAGACAAGGATCAAGTCAATGGAGCCACCGCATAGATCTTCTGGAAGCGGCTCATCCCAGTCCAGAGTTTGGAATTGGAGTGCCGAGGACTTCGCGAGTCGCGCAGCCGCAATGTTCTTCGTCACAATTTCTTCGACCTCAGGAAGATCGGTGAGCGTGACAGAGCACTCGGGAAGAAGCTCTGCCAGCGCGATTCCCACAATGCCACATCCAGAGCCCAGTTCAATGGCGTGCAGGGGGCCGTTGCGCGACCCTCGGAGAAGCGCTTGCAATAGTGGCGAAGAGATTTCTGGGTCTCCCGCAACTATCTTCTGAAGATAGACAACTGACGCTACCGCTGCATCCCTGGGTTATATGAGCGTTAGCTAGGAACGGCTGCCCCCTATAACGAGGTGGCTTACCAGATATGCCGGGCAATACTGTTCCCGGTTTCTTCCCAGATTCGGAGGCCGAGCCTGTCATCCGGCCCGAAGCGTCGTTCAACGAGCTTCTCCGCTGCTGAAGTCTGTGATCCGCCAAACGGAGCACTCCAGCCCGATACCACTAGCGGAAGTTCGGACTTTCCAAGGAGTGAGTCTGGTAACGGTGCTTGTAGCTTTGCAGAGTTGGCAGGGGATACTGCCAGCACGACTGTGTGTTGAGACAGGTTGGCGGGAAATGGCCCCAGCGATATTGGTACTTCACGCTTGCCTGCGTTCCATGTCAGGGATTCCTGATACAGGACCTTTCCTGTGCCATGAGCCACTAGGGTCACATGCAAATTCACGTCTTGAGTGAGGAAGGCATCTCCGAGATCCGTGGTGATGCAGACCAGCGCGGAGACTGTTACAGCACCTTTCTGCTTGGCGAACCTGGGGGTTTTGAGGAATCGGATATAATAAACCATGATCACGAAGAATAATTCCTGAACTGCATCCGAACATGTTCGAGATGTCCGTCCCGAAAAGGAAGGCGACCCGGGACCCGTGACCATGCGGCACGTGCTTAGACCGCTGGTGCTGACTAAGAAGCGGGCACGATGACATCGGCATCTTTCTTCCTCAGGCTGCCATTCCTCATTCCTGTTCATTCCCATGGGTTGGCTGGTTGGTTGCTTTGGTCATTCGTTGTGTCTTCTCTGAGAACCGATCTCACCTATTCTTTCCCCCAATGCGGTCTCTACCTGTCAACCGACTGCCGACTTCACTGTTTCAGTCTCTTCCCCATCATCGTCGCGCGGACTTGATGGGGCCAGTTGGTTGAGGTCCTTGAGAGTGATCTGAGCCTTATCAATCAATATTTACCCCTCGGCCGTGGCATGACAACGATCACTTAAGAGTTGTCCCTTGCCGCCCACGCCCTACCCGAAGCCCGCCGCCATTTTAGCATCATGATGCGATCAAAGGACCCTCGAGTCCGCCAGAGGATCAATCAAATCTCCCATAACCTTGAATCCGCCAACGAGACAGCCCAGGAGGGCCTCTACACCTTCTCCCACAACTATATCCTGCCGTGCTTCACGGCCATCGGCAACTGCGTCTACAGCTGCACGGCACCCTGTCTTCCGACCCGGGAGGACCAGCTGCGTCGGCGGCGCCGCGGCCGCGCGGAAGCGAACTTTGACTTCTACGACGATTGGGATAACGAGGACTCGAATGCCGGACTGCTGGGATGGGGCACCGACGAACTCGACCGCCTGCTGGCGGGCAGTGGGTTGGCCCGTGGCGGTGCCGAACAGCCTCGCCGGCAGAGACGGATGAGCTACGGGGCGCGGCGTGTGCGCCGGAAGAGCACGGCTCTGGCCCAAGATGAACGGAACGACCCGACCGTCATCCCCAGCTCCTCGTTCCTGGGATTCCTCGAGCGGTTCCCCTGGCGCTTCGGGGCGCGCGGACTGAAATACCGTCCCTCGGCGGCGGATCTGCAGGAACATCCGGCGGGAGGACTGCGGAGGCACGTCTACGAGGATGAGCCACTCATGGAGGCAGCCGAGGACTACGACGCTCAGCCGTCGGGGAGCCAAGGTCGGTATCGGAGTTCGACCCAGTCCTCGCGGGAGACCACGAACTCGCTGAGTTCGCGTGGGGATTTGATTCCTAGCGACGACGAAGAGGATGCTGTGCCGTTGGATGATGAGTTCGCCATGGCGCTGGGCAGCCGTCGGGGAACGGGATTGGACTCGATCGACATGATCGGGGATAAGCCGGCGAGTATGCGGTCCGCGTCCGGAACGTTTAGCCTGGGGACCACCGGTTCGTCCAAGGCCTCCAAGAAGAAGCAGAAGAAGCAGCGGAGCAGCCGGCTTCGTTCCCCGCAGGAGTCATACGTAGATATTCCCCGTGACGATAGCACGCCTTCATTGGCCGATCTCAAGAAGGAGGAGGAGCAAGCAGCGTATGAAGAAGAATCGGAGATTGCACGGAAACGGCTGGCCGCTCAGCAGTTGGCATCTAACCGTGGCCTTGACCATCAGGTTAGTAGTTGGCAGTCGCTGCCTTTCCCGGCCTTCAGAACGATGCTCTAACTCCATCTCACTAGCTTTCTCCAACAGCGAATCATGGCACGTCATCAGACGTTACCCACCATGACACTCACCAGTCACCGCCCCCTGGGTCAGCAGCAGAAGACCCCCCTATACGAAATCTCAATGGTCGGTCGGAATCATGGCCATTATCAATAACATCCGAAGACAATTCACAAACAGAACCATTCCCGCCTTTCCCGACGACGCTGGACACCCACGATCCGATGCTTGCATCACCAAATAGCGGCTCCCATGGCCAGAACAATGACCATGATTCAGCCTGAGCCCATGACACCAAACACCATTGAACGTGAATGCTTCAAGGTTGTGCGACTCCCAATGCAAGTTAAAGGGCACTCTGTCGCCCATCATGGTTTGCGGGTCAAACCTTGAGCGCTGGGTTAATAATGCTTTGCCACATACGCAGTTACTGCAGGATTATATCTACCTATCTAGTATTAGTGGAACATGTAATATGAAATGACTTACGAGAGCAGTCGCGCCTTTTCTTTGAGGACTAGCTGCAAGTGCAGTGCGGCATATCAATCATGTTGTTCTGGTAAAACAATACTGCTCGAACCCCCCAACTCGATGTTATTTAACATCTTTCACATAAAGGCACAACCAACACGCACCATCACAGATAATATCTACCTTCCATGGCCCCCACACCGCTGCCCAGAGCCAACCCCTCCGATGAGACGAGTGAAAACGCACGTTTCTGCATCTGCTCCGCGCCGGCGCCGGGGGTATCCTCGAACAACCACGGCGGATTCGCCAGCGACAAGATTTCCTGGTCAAAAATGGCCCACGAGTAGTCCCCCGCCTCGAACTCCGGCGGAACGCTGTCATGCAAAGCGACCTCCGTCGGCGTGTGCATCGCCTGCAGATTGGATTCGAGGCGCTCCGCCAGGACGTTGTGGATGCTGGGAATGGACGGATGGCTGGGTTTCAGCTTGGCGATGTGTTTCTCGATTAGGCAGCGGTCTGGTCCATTATCCACGGATTGTGGCGATGAGTTAGTTATCGATTCGGGTTCTCGAGTTTGGTTTTCAGGGTGAATCCATGATCAATAAGATTGGATTGGATCGGAGAGTTTGTTGCTGATGAAAACGTACCGTCTGGGTGGGACATACCGTCCTCGATCCCGCGGAGAAGTAGCATGGCCGCGAAGGTGATCATCTATGTATGATGCTTCTTGTTCAGAGATTGTCTTGGTGTGTCATGTGTATTTTGGGGACAAGGAGCTCTGGTAAGGGAATCACGTACGATCAAGTCCCAATTCGACCAGATGCTCGAGTCATCCAACCGCAGCCGCACCACCGCGCGAGCGGACACCAGCAACTCGTGTCTCTCGACCGGGGCGATATCCGCTGCGGAGCCGAGATCGAAGCCCCGCGCCGGGTGGTAGATCGATAGCACGTACAGCTTGTGCAGGTGGTATTGGAGGAGGATGAGGATGCCTTGGCGGTTGGAGGGGGTTCGCTCTGCGGATTTGGATAAGCGATGTGTAAGTTGATTGCATCGTTCTGGGTTTTGTCTGGGAATGTTTCTTGGATGATAAGGAATAAGAGGTGGGGTTGGGATGGTAATATTGGGGATGTGCACTCACGCGATGTCCCGTTATATCTGATCAGCCAATCGTCCAACTTCCTCGCCCACAGGCGGATGACCCGGGCGTCTTCGTCTGTGAAGGGTGTTCGGATTGATGGTGAACTCTCGGGTTCCCTTGCGCTGCGCACGAAGGACCAGATCGTGGGAAGGCCCCGGCCGACGAAGTGGCTGAGGCCTTGGTGCATCATCTGCGTGAGACCGCGGAAGGCATGCTCCTCATCCTCGTTCTCGCTGCTGGGAAAAGGGTTGAGGGCTGGGGTGGGAGGGTGTTCCGGGAGTAACGGGCAGCACATGTGCATGGACGCGTGCTCGATGTCGATGACCTGGAGGCCGGAAAAGAGGCCGCTCCAGTCCTGACTCGTGCCGGTTCCTGCGGGAGTGGGAAGGGTGTGGTCGAGGAAGAGAC